AAAAGTTCCCCAAAAGCAATCTGAGGTACATGCTGGAAGAAGTGCTAAAATTCACGACGACGATGAGAGTAAAGGCAAACAGAGCTTGGAGAAAGCAACTGGAGAAGGAGGATGAAGAGAGCCATGTGCCCCTTCTGCCAGAAGTGTGTTTCACATATGCTAGTTTCTAGGGAGAAAGCACTAATCCCGTCCACAGAGGCCACCTCAGCTGCTCCCCTCTTCATCAGAACAATTCATGTCAGAAGTTCCTCTAAGGACAGTTTTTGCCAACCAGCTGTTCCCCTCTCATTGTAGGAAGTCACCTCCCTTGCTCTTTGGCTTCCTGGACCTCCAGATGAGATAGGAATGCCTTGTGCTAATGATACCCTAACAGTGATTCCACAGTGCAAGATGGTAAACCTACTCAGAGACATTACTGCATGTTAGGTGACTTGGTCTGTTAATCACCTTCTCAAGCAGTCCAGCCTTAAGAACATTCTCTGTGTAAGAGCCAAATTTGAGTACACAGGTTACAAAGTTCTCATTTTTAACAGCGAGCATTTTTTCCAAGCATCTTAGTATCTGTTGAACACACATGAAACAGGATAACAGCAGATTACACGCTTCTTTTTTTTTCTTAAAGAACTTTTACATAATTTATTTACTGTTATAACCAATGAGTTATGCAATGATAGACACAGATCAGCCAACTGCACACCACCACTGAGTTTTGGAAAGTGCCAGCACACACAGCAGAGTATTTCACCTGCACCTCATAACGTGCTGCTTTGCCTTCCTGTTTTACCTACTGCCCTGTTCCAGAAAAACATGCTGGAGTCTATCACATATATCCTTTCCATTACATGTTCAGTTGGACATTTTCTGACTTCCAAAAAAAATTATCAAAGAGGTGAAAATGCCAGTATTTCCCCTTAAAATCCTATGAAAAACTTCTGCTTGTTCTTATGGCTTGTCAAGCTATCACTTAGCTCAGTTCTTGTGAAGAGCAACTCTGCTTATAAAAATGCTGCATACAAAGGTCACTTAATGCAAATTAATTCCACACATTCAACTTTATCTGTCTTGCTGCTGTGGCAAAAGGAAAAACTTCTGTAAACATGAAGAATCAGCATGGGTGCTCTGACCTAGGGTATGTACCCAGCTTCATGATGCATGCTACATTCCAATCATTTACATTTGAACAGAGCCATCAGACTGTGGACATCAACCGTAAAGGAAGGTCGAAGTTGCCATTTAGCTTCGTTGCCATTTCAGGTCCTAGGTTCCTTATTACTGATGACACTATGGGAGGAAGAACGAGTCTGTAGTTCCATTTATCCCAAGTTGCTCCTGTGAGACCGACAGTAAGCAGAGCACATTCTGTGTATGTGGAAGACATGGAAAGACCAAGAACTGGGGATTTTTTTCAATATGCCCATTCAATATTTCTGGAAACAGCTAGCCCTAGCTTTATATTGCTTATACCAACTGGCAGAAGCTACTGGCTCGGTTTCTGGAAAATTGTATCATGACGGTCAAGCAAGTTTACCTTATGCAGCATCAGGAAGTTTTGCTACAAAAGGGTCAAAGTTTGATAAATCTTGAGTTCATTTTTCTTTCCAAAAATACAGTTTTGGCAGCATTTGAAATAGAGGTAAGTAATACCATTAAACCACAACAAACCTGAACTTGCTGGATTCATTTAGCAACAGTATGCATCAGTCATAGTTTAGATCACAGAGCTGCAATGCTGATTGTTATTTAAAAATAACTTTTATCCAAGAGCTGTGGAATTAATCTTGGCTTGATGTTAAACTGCAAACACAGGCATGGAGCACGAACTAGGAAAATGTTTATTATCTGTTTTCCTGTACAAGCGCAAGTTAGAGTAGCTCTGCTTCACCTTTTTCAAAAGGCCCATGCTCTGGTCCACCTTTCTTGCACACAATTGGGGAGCTTCAGCAATCACTGATATTAATGCTCTCAAGAATTAGCTATGGAGCAATTAATATAACATGAATGTTTTAACTGTGCGTATCTATGCCTTTAAGTGTCTTTCTTTTAAATTGACCTCAAGTCAACATTATTACACTTCAATGATTGTGTTTTGCCATTAAATACATTTTGATCCTTATACTAAGTTTAATTTCATCATGAATTCATTATTTTAAAAAGAGCTCATTTCAGATAGAATTTGCTTAGTGTATACTGGAAGGTTAGATGCTGAACAGTAACTCCAGCGTAGCACACGGTAGGAACATTGCTGTCTCTTAGTGATCATGGTTCATTGCTTCTACAGGACTTGAATGCCTTCCACACTGTGCGCTCCGCACTGGCAGTGGGCAGACCCAGTTTCTTTGTTTCCCTGTTCTATGCATCACAGGCGTGTTTTTGCGGGGCCTGCAGAGAAACTACTCACTCAACTGCTGCCTCCTCCTCTGCCTTTTCCATTGTTTAGCCAAAGCTGCTAGTACATGCTCATGGAGGAAGCAAATCCCCACACTGCAATGCTGACAATCAAAACCCATTTGTACAGAAAGGTTTTCCGACACAACTTGCAGAGTAAGCACAACCTCACCAGACAGATTTGGCTTTGTTCGTTTGAAGTCTGACTAGCTGTTCCCAAGCAGATTTCCTCAAAATGACTGTATTGTTTATGCTTGCCAATTCTATACTCATGAAGAAAGGAATGAAAAGGAAGAAGATGATTGTGGTGCTGGTATGGAAATGCTTTGAGTGGAGGATGGACTAGATGACCTACATTCTTCAATGAATCAACGCAACAGCATCCATGTGGAGTAAATTAATTAAGAGTCCAGAGATCCCAGTAAGGATTTCTACTTCCCCAGCAATCCTAACCCAACAATCCCAAACCTGAAAACTTGTCCATATGAGCCAAGCACAGCAGCCCCTCTGCTACAGGTAGGGCGCAGTGAGAGGCCCTAATGCAGAAGATCTGCACGCTCCAGCATCTGCCTCTCATAGCCCATCCATATCTGCCATAACTGTGGTGCGTTTGTTTCACAAAATTTGGCAAAGAGGACAAAAGAGAGTATCCAGGCATACTGCAGCCCAGCAATCCACAGAATTATGATTTGTGCACATAAAAGGGGGTTGGACTTGAAAATGCTATTAGCCCACATCTGTTCCAGGCTAGTGGCCAGCTCAGTAAGTGCAATGGGATCTACTTCACGGTATATTACACAACTGACATAGAGTAAAGGGGCTTTACAGCACTTCTTGTAAGAGTTTGCAGTGTTGGTAGCAGCCTGACAGTGTTAAGGCTCAGAACGGTGAAAGAACATACTGGGAATTCATGCCTGTTGCAGAGGCAGCACAGTTGGTACCTTGTGTCAGAACAGAAATGATCCAAGTTTCAGATGTATCTGACAGAACTGGGTTCAGTCTGAGAGTTTTTATTTCATGTATGCTAATAGTATCTGAACGGATGCTGATGGCCCCTGCCAAAATTTAGTCCAGCTCCTGGCAGCACACAGAACAGAATGGTAGACTTAGGTTTTGTTCCTTGTTTTCTTCTGTATCGTTTCTGTGTTTTAGTGTTGTACTGATCACATGGCTTTTTGCTCCTTCCCACGTATCCATTTAACAGAGACTAAAAGGACATCCCTATTTCAGCATCTGAACTCTAAGTCTCCCTGAGTTTCTGTCTTCCGCTGCTGGAAGTGAGCAGAATTCAGATGTCTGCCCCACTTCAGCTAGATACCCAGCAAGGCACAGTATCAGATTAGAAAGAAATCCCAACTCTAGAGGATGCAGACACAAAGGTTGTGTGCCAGCTTTTAAACAGGGAAGTGAGAACGTGTCAGCAAGACCCTGGAACAGAAATGAGGCACACAGTAGAGGCCCACAAAGGTAAATCTGTAGACTTGGGGTTTGAGAGAAAGTGCAGAAAGCAGTCTGGTGGAGCAGCTGGACGACGGCAAAAATAATACGCAGCGCAAATACAGTCTCACAAAGAGCAGAAGGCAGTACACTTATATAAAGGTAATACGAGAAAACCAGTATTATTGTTTTATCTAACAGAATTGTTTTATCTAACAGTACTATCCAGTACTATACAGTCATTTTTGTCCTTTATTCCATAAAAAGGAATTACAGAATACAGTTAGGAGGTTTTTCATTATGCACCTACAAAGGTTAATACTGTGTAAACCCTCATAATCCCGAAACAAAATCTCAGCCAGATCTCAATCAGTTGTAGTCACAAAGATGCTGTCAATTTGTACATTATTGTCTTTGAAAAAAAGTTTTGCAGGCCTGATCATATGCCCTTTCAGACATGTACAGATCCAACTAATGTACTTGTTCAACACTGCAGTACTTCAAACACTTCTATAGATTCGCAAGATAACTTTAAAAAATTCACTGGCAGTGATTACCTTCTAATGTACAGAATAGGATGCTACAGCAACAAAAGCTTGTTTCTTGTAGATATTTATTACATTATCGAGTTCATTTTACTGGAAAATTTTTCCATGCAGATGATTTCTTTCTGTACCTTTAAATGCAGAATATGCATTTGGACTGTAAACTGCACATGATTCCATTCCACAGTTTAGTAACTGAAGAGATATAAAAGTAAGCATATTTATTAAAATACTTAACAAAAACTCTGTGTTCTCAGAATGTGTGATGTATCAGTGGGCCTCACTGTCATGAAGTATAATGAGACCAGAGCACATACAAGTTTAAAATAAAAACAAAAATCAAACCCCACAAATACGTACCTTGTACACTGCACAATTCCAGGGCAACATATGGTTTTATTTCACTAATATAGATCATGAATTTGCCTTGAAAGGTGAACTATTAGACACTTGTCTCCAAGGAAGTCTTAAGAAGCCTTCTAACAAGCAAGTGTCTTGACAGAGCACACAACAAAAATAGGTGCCTCATAGTGCAAGTGTTTCTCTATTCTTCCCTTACATGCAATCATTTTCTGCTCTTATTAATTGTATTGAAAATATAACTAATATATACTTCTAGAATTGGATACTTACAGTGAAAATACCCATTAGCTGAGTGTAAAAGAGTCCACTTATTCCACCTAATATTATTAGACCCATGAAGGCAGATATTCTTAGGAGAGCAAGTTCATGTCTAAATACAAAAACATCCTAGAACAAGACAGAAAGAAGAGAAAGACTTTAGCACTTATAAATTGATGTTTGAACTGAGTGGAAATACTAGATAGGAGCTGTTCCCAAAGACTTACAGCTAAAGGCAAATACTGGATTTTTGAGCTACATTGCAAATCATCAACACATTTATGTGCTAAAACTGTAAACCAATAATCTTTTATTTATACCTAACAACAGTTGGGGTTTTTTTGCCAGACTGTTAAAAAACCTCATTCAGATATTTAAGGTTTGGGCATCAATCGAGTTCAAACCAAGTTACTCCTGAATCTTCCATCTCAAGCTGTGCCAGACTGCTACACACAAGCTCCAAAACATAAGAAAACCATTCTGTTAAACAGTTTTATCTACAAGACTGTATGTCTCAGCTTCCAGCCACAGCAAATTTCATTTTAACATCACCTCTTTTGTAATGAAAATAACTACATTCCTAGCTTGACTCTTGAAGATGGTACCTACAAAATCCAAGTATCTGTATTGGATTGGTCTTACTGTAATGCTGTCTATTATCCAACATAAACTTATCTTCATCTTTTAAATTTTGGCCTTAAATGTATTGTTATAATTTTGGATATGGGTCCACAACCGAGCTGCCTCAGGGTACAGGAGAATATGAATTTACTGTGTCAGCTGCTCTGGAAAGCCTGCTCTCACACAGCAGAAAATATGAAAAGTGTAAGAGTTTTATAGATCTTTTTCAAAGGATAAAACACCTTATTTTTATCACAGGAAAACATTTGTACATGGCAGTTACTGTAGATGTACTGCAAGTTCACACTCCATCTTAGCCTTTGATAACGAGTTAACACACCCATTCTCTTATTTATAAGTTACGATTATGTTCTCAAGGCTGTCTTGAATGTACACATCTGTTTTTCCACTTGGAAAAGCCAGATCACAGCAGGAAACTATTAAAACCTTTCAAGTAAACGTTAAATTACAACCAGAACATAAAAGTGAACTGAATGAAAAAAAAACAAAACAGAACACTGCTTTTGAACTTTCCTTCTTTACATTCAACCAGTGGGACTTAAGGAAGAGGAATTCTTAAGACTCAGGAATACTGGGTTTTAATTAAACAGAGAATAGTTACAGCAAATTTTATCTAGTAAAAAAGTCTGATTTTAGATTTAAATTATTTCCACAAAGGTTCAAAATATAAACCCAAGAAAAAAGTTTATACTGGCTACTACAGCTGTGAAGAAAGTCAATGTTTAATGAACAAGTAGGAATCACTAAGTTCACCAACCAAAACAAAAAGCAAACCCCACCAGTCTTTTCTGAACTCATAAGCCAGCTCTTGTTAGTATTGGCCCTTCTTGATGATGTGAAAAAAATATATGCTTCCTTTTTTTTTAATACTCTTCTTACTCAGTTAATGAGTTAATTCAAAGTTAAATCAACCCAAAATAAAAGCATTCATACCAATCTTTATTCCCCTTTCGACCAGCCCACCAGAGCTTTAAAAAAAAGCAAGGTAAGACACAAGTTCTACTAGCTGTAAAATACTTTCACTTCATATCTTCATAGGTATGTTCTTTTATTATGTCAGAAATGTTTTAACATATTCAAACTCAACTTGATAAAAAACAGTGAAATGTAAGAGTGCCAACAGTGAAGTCAAATTCTGGATCTAGAATCACACTCCCCCACCAGACGAAAGTTTGTAACACAGCTCTTAGCATCTCCCCAGCACTCTAATTAGAAAAGTTCCTTCTCTTGAGCATCATCTTCAGCA